CACTTGAGCCACAGCACCACTTCGGGCTTTTTTTCTTTTTGCTTATGTGGTGCTGGGGAATCGAACCCAGGGCCTCATGCATGCAAGGCAAGCTCTCTACCACTGAGCCACCTTCCCAGCCACTAATTGTGCTTTTTAATACAAGACTCCTAAACATATGCCAATGACTCTAACTAGTACTAAAGCAATTAAAGTCATCTGTTCTAATGCTACAGGACAAAATATCTGCTTTGGACTTACAAAGTGGTTGGTCAGTATATAGTTTTGTACCTTCTAAAAGGAGATTGTTAAGATTAATCTTACATGACTTCTTTGAATTCATTATATAGTTTAATCATAATCTATTTTGTGTTGGTATAACAAAATAACTGAGGCTGGATAACTTATTAAAGACCTTTATTTAGGTCTGGAGGTTGGATCATTGGCAGAGCACTTTCTTAGCATATGTGAAGCTCTGGATTCATCCTTCAGCATCATCACAGTATCTTTATCATGCTTATGATTCTGTTGACTAGCAGGTACCCCTGGCTAAGGGGAAATAGAACAATTGGTAGTTGCAGAAGGAGATAAGGCATGGTATGGCTTCATATTTAACAGTCTGCTGTCATGAGAACTAATCTGGTCACAGGAAACCTGATCTACTCCTCAAAATATTAATCCATTCATAAGGGCAAAGTCTTCATGACTTAATTCATCTCTTAAAGAAGCCAACTGCCATACTGGGAACCAGTCTTCTAGCATATTTAAATCATAGGAGTAGGGTTTTAATTTTACAAGATATTTGTTTTTAGCAGAAGTCAATGGAATTAATATGCTTAAAAAAACTATGGGCATTATTGAACATCCATATGGAAACGAAAGATGAGTAAGTATCATTCTTACTATTTTCATCCCTGACAAAAAATATGAGAGACAATTTTTATAATTTTTTTCTTTTTTAGTAGTGTAATAGAAAATTATACTAAACAAGAAGACATTTTAAAATTATTTGTATTGGCACATATTAATTTACAGAATGAGGGGTTTCATAGTGTTATTTATTTTTTTGGGGGGGGGTCCGGTTATGGGGCCTGAACTCTGGGCCTGGGTGCTGTCCCTCAGCTCTTCAGCTCAAGGCTAGCGCTCTACCACTTGAGCCACAGCGCCACTTCTGGGTTTTTTCTTTTTGCTTATGTGGTGCTGAGGAATTGAACCCAGGGCCTCTTGCATGCGAGGCAAGCACTCTACCATTGAGCCACCTTCCCAGCCCTCATTGGGTTATTTATATACAACTGTGTTTTGTTTTGTTTTTGTAGTGCTGAGATTCCAGGTGTATCCTAGCATACCTGACTTTAGCAAATTTTATGGCCAGACCTGATTTTGTACCTGATTGTCCAAGTGAAAAATACGTCATTGCTAAGATTCTATGTTTTATTTCTGATTCTTAGTTTCTTTATCTGTAAAATGAGAATTTTCATACTTAAGTATTCTGTGTTTTCTAGCCTCACCCAATTTATTTTACAATTATTTTAGCTCTAAAATTCTTTAATTATTACATCATATACAAACTGTATGCTGCATATAGTTTCATTGTTTATTTCAGAGGATTTTAGCATCTTAGAGTATACCAGAATCTTCCCTATGAATTAATAATTGCAATGCAAAAATACTAATTAGGAGAGATTTTAAGGTTTCTAGAATCTAATGATGTGTCTAGATGAAATAAAAACACCTTTTTTGCATGCCATAAGTACAGTCTCAAAAGACAGGAAAAGAAAATTAGATTTTCAGAACCTCAGTATATAATGCTTGATTTTAATGAAATTTTAATATACATTTTAATAGACAATAATAGTGGAATATTATTGCATAATCTTAACTAACATGGTTCATACATGAGGTAAGTTGTTTTTCTGGACTTACGGCTCATTGAGAAAGGAAAGATTATGCCTTTAGAATGTTTTGTGCTTTTTTTTTATGTTGTATCAGGCATATCACAAGAGTTACATTTGACACATGTTATTGCCAAGGACCCTGTAGGAGAAAAAGAAGGCAAGAAAAAAAAAATCTAAATTTCTTTCTTGAGTACTAAACTAAAGCTGAAGGAAGTTATTAACAACTATAAGCCTTTTTGTTAGTACTAATGGGGCAGTAAGCCTCTTTTCGCTCTCAAATTTATTTTGTTTCATTATTTTGCTAAAATTATTTTAAAAACATTTTTTTAAATGTTCTAGAATTAAACTCATGTTTGCTTAGCTTGCTTGCTTGGCTGGCACATTATCACTTGAACCATACCTCTGGCTGTTATTTTGGAAATAAGACTCTCTCAAGCTTTTCATTTTTAGGCTGGCTTTTGAACCTCAATTCTTAGATTATCAGCCTTTTGAATAGGTTTACAGGTGTGAGCCACCAGCACCTGTCTAAAAGCATTTTTATTGAGGTAGAAAGAAAAGTATAAGTGAACATACAATACTTTACTAATAGAGAAAAGCTGAAATTGAACCCCTTTTTTAAAAAACTATTTTTTAAAAATCTGCTGGGTGCTAGTGTTGCAGTCCTGCAATCCTAGGAGGCTGAGATCTGAAGATCATGGTTTAAGACAGCCCAGGCAGGAAAGTCCATGAGACACTTATCTCCAGTTAACCACCAAAAGACCAGAAGTAGAGCTATTGCTCAAGTGGTAGAGTGCCAGCCCTGAGCAAAATAAGCTTAAGAGACAGTGACAAGACCTTGAGTTCAAGTGCGCGCACACGCGCGCGCACACACACACACACACACACACACACACACACACAGCAGAGAATAATAGCTCAACTGGAAATGGTGGTAGCAGTTCCTTCATGTATTTAATTTCAGCAGAATTGTCTGAAAGTTTACAGGAAAAGAAACTACTTGTCAAGAATTAAAACCACAATTTAAGAAAAAAATCAGAATGTCATATATAAATATTAAGAACCTCATCTCACAGTCAAATTATTTAGTAGTATTTAGTAAGTTCACTTCCCTCAAATCCAAGATTAAAAACAAAAGTACTAGGTCCCAGCAAAAGTCATTGGTTTCTTTTTTATTCTTTTGAGGCATATGTCACACTAGCAGTGACATCTTTACAGTAAACAAACAAAAAATGATGCTTAAGCTTTCTGTGACTCACAAATATTAGTCATTTGAAACTCAGATTACTTTCTCAGGCAAGTCCTAAAACTAACCCACAAACGCTGATTTTAATTGCAAAGGCTACTGAACAACACAGCGGGCAGCGGAAATGAACATATCCATTCTACAGAATCTCCTCTTGTCTCAGGGACCAGATCTTCAGATGTAACTTGTTAGTAGAGCACTTATTTTCCTTATATGTGCAAGGCCCCTGGGCTGATCCCCAGTACTGAATGAAAAGGAAAAGGACAGCCAATCCAATTTTTTTAAGTGGTAAAACCATAGTGAATAGGCTTCAGGTATAGGTCAGTGGTAGAACACTTGGCTAGCATGCTGTGAGGCCCTGTTTTATCCTCAGCACCATGGTAGGGAAAAAGAGTATTATACCAGGATTCCTCATCGTTAGCACTTGATACATTGAATCACATAATTCTTTGCTATGGGGACTATATCTTCCTACCGCCAGATGTGAAAAGCAGAAATGTATGTAGACATTGTCAAATGTCCTCTAGAGGATAAAATCAACTAGGTTCTCCTACTTGAGAATCATGGTACTATACTGATTAGATCTGAATAAATAAATCTTAAATTGATGAGACTGTTAGTGAAGATGTATAACAAGGAGAACTCTCATACATTGCTCTTAAGAATGTGAAATGGAGCCAGCCACCAGTGGTTCCAAATGTAATCCTAGCTACTGAGGAAGCTGAGATCTTCCAGATCTCAATTTGAAGCCAGCATAGGCAGAAAAGAACATGAGAATCCAACTCCAATTAACCAGCAAAATGCTGGACTGGAGGCATGGCTCAAGTAGTAGAACACCAACTACACAAGCAGGCTAAGATCTTGAGTTCAAGAGCTGTACCAACCTATGTGTGTGTATGTATGACTGCATGTATGTATGTATATACACATGCATATAGTATGTATATACATGTACCTATTTTATATATACATGTAATATGAATGTCTATGTTTATGTGTGTACATATACACACATGTATACATATATACATATATGGAATGTGGAAAAATAGATTACATTTCCTTTAAAAAGTTAAATGTATGACTGTTATACATAATCTAACCATTCTACTCCAAACCAAGAAAAACAAAACTATATTCACAGAAAGCTATTCAGATGCCTTTAAGGGATAATATTTTTCTGAGCTTATACTTCATTTTTTTGTTGTTGTTGGTTGAGGGGCTTGAACTCTGGGTTTGGGTGCTGTCCCTGTGCTCTTAAGCTCAAGGCGAGCACTCTACCGCTTAAGCCATAGCATCATTTCTGGTTTTTCTAGTGGTTTATTGGAGATAAGAGTCTCATAAACTTTACTGCCCTGGCTGACTTTGAAGGATGATCCTCAGATCTCATTCTCCTGAGTAGCTAGAATTACAGTGTGAGCCACTGGCGCCCAGCTTGGACTTCATTTTTAATCCCTTAAAACCTGTTTTCTTTGCTTTCTTGATATTCTTATATGATGTAAACTTACAGATAGCCATTTTCTCTCAATTTTTTAAGTACACTTCCATTTTTGAAAATTAGGATGTCAGTTTAGTTTTTCCATTTTAGGTAGTGCTTTTCTCTCTCATAGACTTCACGATTACTCTTTTTCTTCTTTTAGTTTTACCATATGTCAAGGAATGAATTTAATTCCAGTTATCTTTCATGGCATTCATTGTGCTTCATGAAAAAAAAATGAGGTTTGGTTTCTGCAATCAGTTCCATAAAACTTTCTCTCATCATCTTTTTTGTTTTGTTTTGTCAGTTGTGGTGTGCACTCAAGGCCTGGTCTCTCCCTGAGCTCTTTTAATCAAGCCTAATATTTTACCACTTTGAGCCACAGCTCCGCTTCTGGTTTTCTGGTGGTTAATTAGAGATAAGAGTCTCCTGCCTGGCCTGACTTTGAATCATAATCCTTAGATCTCAGCATCCTGAGTAGCTAGGATTACAGCCATGAGCCACTAGTGCCCAGTTCTCATCTGTTAGATATTGCCTTTTCTATTCTATTTTCTTTTTCCAAGTAGATTGACATTAGGCCTTCTAATTTACCATCCACTCTAGACTATATCTTCACATTTATTTTCTAGTTTACTAATGATTTTCTCTTTAGCTATGCTAGATATTCTGCTTATCCTTTGAATTTTCTCATCAGTTGTAATAGCTATATCGGGCTCATTTTTCTTGTTCTTTACCTATACTTTCCATTTCTTTAAAAAAATTGAAACATAAAGCGGTATTCTGTATCTAATAATTCTGTTTGAAACCTTTGTAGGCCTGAGTCAGGTGATTTTTATTTCATATTACATTTTATGATTGTAAGCTCACATTTATTAGATTTTTTGGCTCCTTTACAGAAAATTTATATTAATTTTGGACTGAAATTTAAAAGACAGTACCAGCCCACTTTATTTATTTATTTGTTTGTTTATTTTTATTTTTTGCCAGTCGTGAGGCTTGAATTCTGGGCTTGGGTACTGTCCTTGCGCTCTTCAGCTCAAGGCGAGCACTCTACCACTTGAGCCACAGCTCCACTTTCGGTTTTCTAGTGGTATATTGGAGATAAGAGTCTCACAGACTTTCCTGCTGGTTTTGAACTATGAATCTCAGATCTCAGCCTCCTGAGCAGCTAGGATTACAGGTGTGAGCCAGCAGCGCCTGGCCCTCCTACTTTAAATCACTGTCCTTTCTTTCATTTATTTTTGCTTGTTTTTGTTTTAAGACCAGTGAGTAATAAGGAAATCAGTAGCCAACTCTTCATGATGTATGTTTATGAATATCCAGACAAGATGGTTTTCCTCCCTCTATCCAGAATAAAATTTAAAATGAGTAGTTTTCCATTGTCTTATGTAGATGGAACATTTTTTTCTAATTCATTATTTTATTCAGTGTTTAGCCCTTTGGAGTCTGGCTCTATGATGGTGCTGGTGGTCTGCCTCCCATTTCTCAAATCCTGGAATTGGTCATCTGTTCCTTATGCTGCTTCTCTAGCTAGATTACCAGGGATCCATACATAGCTGCCAGCCTTCAATGCCCATTACCTGCCTGATTTCTTCTGTTGATCATTTTTGTCCTCTGAGAACTTCTATTGCTTTGCTAGTTCAGCCATTCTAAATTCTATTTCTTGCTTTGGTTTGTTTTTTGCAGTGCTGAGGACTGAACTCAGAGCATCACACTTCCTAGGCAAATATTGTACTATTTGTAGCCCTAGAAATATATTTTGGTATTTTCCTAACGTGAGTAGGAAGCTCTATAATATGGGTCAGTTTTTAAGTAATCTGTGGAAGAGACATTCTTATAGGAGTATTTCTCTTTATAATTAAGGATCTTTGGCTAATGTGCTACCTAAGATTTTTCTGCATTTTAGAATTTTACTGATTCTTTCCTTATAATTACTTTGTATCGATTTCTTTACAGCTATCAGTTTGACAATAGTCTCAATTCCCTTCTAAATTTCCTTGGACTTAGAAAGCAGATAAACAAGCTTATTAAAGTTTCTTACCAAATAAAAGTAACTTGTCTCCAAGAAAGGTAGGCCAAGTATTTTCCACTTTGGTACATAAATTCTGTGAATCTATTTTGAGTCTGACTTTTACTTGCGCACTAGACTATTCTGAAACTCTCAAAAGAAAGTCAATTCAGGTATATAACTGAATATATTGACTCTATAAATAGTCAACAACTATTGATGTTTGGTTAATATTACTGTGCTTTAAAGGAAAATACTTCAAGGGATGTGTGTGTATATGTGTACACTTGTGCTAAATGGATTTACTTTAATCAAAAGAATCACATTGAATTCATGTATTATTTTTAAGTAGACAATAACATATTTATATACTAAGAAAAATCTTCAGTGTTTTCTCATGTTTTAAATCTGTGAAAATGACTTAAGTGATTATTTCTAATTTGTTGTCATCTATATTTTTATTTTTCCTTTTATATAAGATATTTCATTTTGTTTAAACTAAAAGATAATTTTATTTCATTAAATGTGACGTTTAGATAAACCCAAGACTGTTGTTTTCTCGCTAGTGTTTTATGTACAACATCTATAATAAAATGAAAATGTATTTTTAAGTACTTACTTGGATAAGGTAGGCTGGTTGTTACTATTTCAAAGCAAGATAGACATATATCCACAAACATACTTCCCCAAATTGTCACATCTGAAACAGAATGTACTCTTAGTGTGGATCAAAGTTGACTTATAAATACTCTGGGCTTGTACCTTAAAACTGCAACAACATAAGCACATCCACACATATTAATTGTAACTATATCTAAGTTATAGTAAATAGTATGGTAAACTGTCAGTTGGTGCTTTTATATTCCTCACACAGTGTGGTAAAATTTATAAACTTTTATGCAAGAAAGCAAAATTTTAGTAGACATTTGGAGAAAGTTATGATAATATATCTTTAGTGAAACTTTAAAAAGAATGTTAAGTGTTATGGAAAATTTTACAAAAATTTAGAGGCAACCCACATGGTAAATAGAATGAAAGGAAATTGGATGGAATTAACATGTATGAAGAAGGTAATAGCTAAGAAGAACTATTGCGAGATGTTGCAGAGCATTTTAAATTTTGGCAAAGGCTCAGTGTGGAGCCAGTCCTGATTTCCTGAAGAGGAATGGTAAGCTAATGATTTGGGTGCAGTGGTCCAGAAAAAAAAAATGCATGGAAAAATAATACAGGAAAAATGGGGAAGAGTGATGGGATGAGATTAAGGTTTCTTCACCTCTCTCTTGAAGAGTACACAAATATTTGGAACCAACTTACTAAAATAGTAGAAAGAACATGCCTTTGAGTCACAGTTGCTTGAGTTTTTTCCTTTACTCGGGCCTCCTGATGGCTATGTGGATTTGACCACATAGTTTTCCATTTCTGTAATGAAGTTAGCATCTACCAGAAGGATTATAATGACAGGTAAATGAAATAAAACATATGTTAAATGTCTAACAGTGCCTGGTACCTATTAACTATAATATGTTTTAAGTGTTCTGTTGATATTATAAATCCGAAATAATAGAATATAACACATATTAACGTCTAAATTAAACATTATCCTAAAAATCATTTTCCTAACTGCTACAATATCAGTCTCCTTTTTTATCATAACAGCTTTTTGCCAGTTCTCTAAGTCAAGGTTTACTTACAGGACAAAAAACTTGAAGTAAGTCGATCATTATAGGAAATTATAAAAAGGAAAAGAAAGGAAAAAAAATACTGATGTTATTCTTAAAGAATCTAAATTGGGGAGAAATGATTCCTGGCCTATAGTAGGTGCCTAATTAACATTGAATAATTAACATTTGATACTGTTGAATATATTGGACTAATTAGGACTATATATGAAGAAGTTTGCAAATTTAACCAATCCTTCATATATAGATATCATGTTAGAGAAACATTATTATTTGAAAAATGTCCTAAATTACTAATGTTTAAGAGCCCAAAGAAAATATGAACTTGAAAAAAAAAGAAAATACTAACGATGTAGAGTATCTGTTTACCAAGAAATGTAGTCAGTTTTAAATTAACATAACTTAGTATCTGTGATAATTAAGGAAAAGGAATAAAACAAAGATCTCACCTATCAATAAAATCTAAAACTAGTGTCCAAAGAGTATTTCTTCTCTCCACTCTTGGCAGTCTACAGAATACTATAAAATACTGAGGGAAAATATACATACATTTTAAGTGTATGGTGGGTTTAGGAGATGGTTTATGATGACAAGTCAATCTGATCCACACAAATCATGGTGGGGGAGTGTTGCTGGGAACCAAGGCCTCACACATACTAGATAAGCTCTCTACCAAGCTACATCTCCAGCTCTAACTTAGCATTTAAACAGTACTTGAGGAAAAAACTAACGATGGTTCTTGATTTTCTTAGAAAATATTGAAAATTTATTTCAAATACATTACAAATTTGGTAAGGCAAATGGACAAAAAAATTAACATTTGTTTCACGATGTTTTCTATTTATTTTGCCAGATGCTATCAATTTGAACAAACACGGGTTTGCACTTAACATGACAACAGTGAAATCTGTGGCACTTCGAAGAGCTTCTGGGTCCTTAGGAAACCTTTCAAAGAAGGATATGTACTGTGAGTGATAGGAAGAGGAAAAATGAAATGAAATTGAACTGTACACAGTTCATTCAGTTTGCTTGCTCCTATGCTTATTTTGAAGTTTATTTGTACATAGTTGCTTCTACTCATATTTTGCCCTTTTGGATTTGGATTGTAGCATTAATTTCAAAGTTGATCTTCCCCTTCTGACACTCCTCCATGGATGAGTTGACAGACTAAATTAGCAAATTTAAAAACAAAAGAATCTTCTTATAGACATTCATACTCTTATTATCTATCTCCAGAAAGGAAAAAAACAGTGCAAAATTTTAATTAAAACTACACTAATTTTTTAATGGTAACCGTGTATGTGTATGCATATGCATGTAAAAATGAAGTAAGTTATTGCCTCATTGTTAATATCTGTTAAATTTTTGTTAAGGATAGGAGATATTATCCTTTATGAGTTACTTGTAACCTGGGACAGTATATCCTGTTTTATAAGTTGCTGAGTTCTGTTCTGACACTATAATTAAAAAAAAAAAATTTGAAGGTTGGACCTCATTGGTATCTGGAGCAGTTGAGGCCTTACTTGTTTGTCTCCTTTATGATTGGCTGAACCCTGTTGCTAAGCTTGATTTTTTGTTCTTAAGGAAAGTTAAAAGTTAAGGGAGCCCTCTTCGAATTGCATCCAGCTGCTTTTGACTGTGCTCTGCTCCTTCCCAGGTTTTTTTTTTTTAATTGGTTTTTTGTTTTCTTTTTGCATCTCTTAGATTTAGATTTTTTTAGTTTCTTTTTTAGGTTTATATTTTTAACCCTATTTGTAAATTTAGTGTGCAATATTTTAAGATTTTTAAAGTTTTAATTGTGTATTTGTGGTACACAAATTAAAGTACTGTAATTTAAATATTTGAAGGTGATTGAATACTTGAAAGTTGACTGACACAAAACAAGGTTTGAATTGTAGAGTGCAAATACATTTTTTAAAACCTGCCCATTATAAGCACTAAATATGATCTGTAATCAAATATTAATAAGAATAAATCTAGAGTACTTAAAATTTTTCAGCAGAAATGAAATGTGAAATATAATAGTTAATAGATCATGTTTTTAACAATTTAAAAACTATTATTGATCATACTTGCATTTTTGTTACTAAAGGATATTAGTGATACTGTTTTGTCACTAAAGTATATTTGAGATTAACTTTGTTGACTGGGCGCCCCGTGGCTCACAGCTGTTAATCCTAACTACTCAGGAGTCTGAGATCTGCAGATTGTGGTTTGAAGCCAGCCCGGACAGGAAAGTCTGTGAGACTCTTATTTCCAATTAACTACCAGTTAAGTCAAAAGTGGAGCTGTGGCAGTGCCTGTGCCCTTAGTTCAAGCCCCAGAACCCACACAAGAAAAAAAAAATAAAGATTAACTTTGTTGCAAGTTTTTTTGAGTAGGTCTAATTTGATATTCTTTTTAATTATACACAAAATCTCAGGACTGGCTAGACAAAAATTCTGTTGGGATATGAGTTTGGTTTGTAATTCCATAGACCATTATGAACAGTTGTGACTCTCTTGCCACCTCTATTTAACAGTTATGGGAATAAGATTAGATTCTTCTAGTGCTCTGCAGGAACCAATAGAAATTCTTCAAGTATTCTTTATACCTTAAATCCTTACACAAGCCTTAATAAAGAGCTACAGATAGCTTAGGTTCTCCAAAATTACTTTGAGTTCTAGAGTACAGATCATAAGATGTATATATAAAAAAGTGATATTCAAATTTATTTTTAAATTGTCAGCATAGTCTTTAAACACTAGTACCATAATTCGGATATAACATCTTAAAGTGGCATTTTATTAACAAGTGATTTAGATTAAAAATAAATTATTAAATCAATTAGAACAGTGAGGCTTATTTATAATTTAGGCAAATTTGAACCTTGAGGGCTTATGGATGGTAGTTGCAGAATTATGTGTTTCCCTATATTCATAGTGTCAAGAATATTGGATTCATACAGATAAGTAGTTTTGAATAAAATGTGTGTATGTAGGGGTGCACATGCGTGTGTACATGTGTATATGCATTCATGCATGCATGCATGCTAAGCAAGCACACTACCAAGAAGCTACATCCCAGCTCCCAAAACTAAAAAATAAATACCACAAACAAAAACAGCTTCCCTTGCTGTGCAGGACACTAGTTAAACTGGCCCAGAAGCTTGAGAGAAAAATAATTAAAAGAAGTACAGATTTCAAAGAACTACTTGTGTTTTCATAAATATAAAAGTTAAACCAAAAAGTTCCCAGAATGTATAATATGCCTAAAACTAAGAATCATGATATAAGATATGCAGTCCATTCCTTTTACATTACAAAAGTTTGATACCCTTTTATGAGCCCAGCAGATGTGACTAAGTCTCATGGCTTTTTTCTTTCTTTCTTTCTTTCTTCCTTCCTTCCTTCCTTTCTTCCTTCCTTCCTTCCTTCCTTCCTTCCTTTCTTTCCTTCTTTCTTTCTTTCTTTCTTTCTTTCTTTCTTTCTTTCTTTCTTTCTTTTCTTTCTTTCTTTCCTTTCTGTGTGTGTGTTCGCGCATGTGCATGCGTGCGTGCCAGGCCTGGGCGCTGTGCCTGAGCATTTTTGCTCAAGGCTAGTGCTCTGCCACTTGAGCCATAGCTCCACAGCTCCACTTTCAGCTTTTTACTAGGTTTATATATATACACAGCATGTGTATTCACATGCATATATGTGCACACATATACATACACATAAACATATGTACATATTTGTATACATATACACATGTGTGTTGTGTGTTTATAAACTTTGAAAACCACTGACTATGTTATATACAAAGAAGCCTGGAATAGCAGTAGAAGAACAGGTTCTGTCTAGCTTAAAGCTTATAACGCCTGGTAAAATCAGAAATAATGGTAGAAATTCAGTGTTGAAATAAAGTTTGAGAGATCAGAAAGTTCAGTTCTTATTTTGAATTGGTAGAAGGAGAAGAGTACAACTAGAAGAGTTAACTAAGATTTCCAGAGGACTGGAGGTATGGCTCAAGTGGCAGAGCACCTTCCTAAGAAGCATGAGGCCCTGAGTTCAAACTCCAAAAACAATGAAGAGGCTGGACACAGGTGACTTACACCTGTAATCCTAGCTACTCAGGAGGCTGAGTCCTCCACAGTCCTTATAAGACTGTGGTTCAAAGCCAGTCTGGACAGGAAAGTCTGTGAGACTCTTATCTCTACTAAAAACTACCCAAAAAGCTGATAGGAAAGAAATGACTCAGGTGATAGAGTGCTAGTCTTGAGCAAAAGATGCTCAGAGATAGAGCCCAAGCCCTGAGGTTAAGCCCCAGACCCCAGGACCAGCACACATAAAAAAAGAATGGGTAGTTTCCACGCTGTTGAGTTTACCTTGCTTTTCCTTTCCCTTTCCTTTCTTGTTGTTTGATTCTTCCTTCCTTTCTTAGAATTTTTCTTTTTCCCTAGCAGAGTTGGGTAGTAAAATAATTCCCCTTAATACTCCCTAACACAATCCCAAGCTTCATACTATCTCTGACTTACATGAGAGATTAAGTCTAAATCTGACATTACATTCCCATCTCAAGATATTTCTGTTTACTCAGAGAATGTAAGAAATTAAATGCATATATCTGTCATTCAGAAATATTTCTATATAATGGAATTACTGAATGCTAAATGGTTACATTATATTAAGATTTCTTTGATTTGTAAAATAATAACATTGGTATCATACATAAATTTATATCAAAATGTATTTTTAGCCAGATGAGGTGGCTTAAGCCTATAATATCAGCTTCTTGGAGAAAGATAGCAAGACAGGAGAGATATTATTTGGGGCCAACCTGAGCTAAAAGTTCAAAACCCTATCAACAAAAGATGCTTAAGGGCATGGTTAGCAAGTATAAAAACCCAAGTTTAAACCCCAATACTATAAAAAAAAAGTATTTTTCAAATTAGAGTTTTAACATACTAGGAAAAAATATTATCTTTTCCAGTTTCTATTGTTTAAATAAAAAAACACAAGAATCAGGGAAATCAGATTTTCTACAGATTTCTACAAATGAAGTAATCTTGAATTTCAAATTTGAGTCCATGTAAAAATTATAATTATAAATGGCAATAGCTCTTTTTTTCTCTTGAGCATGTAATTTACCTAAGCTAGTAGTGATAAGAGGGGGGAAAATACACACACACACACACACCTTTTGGATAAAGCAGAAGACAAGTCTTATTGCAGCAAGGAGGATTTTGAAGAACAGAAAAACAGAGGGGAAAGTTCAGTGAGTGGTTTGTTTTTAAAAATGTGTAACATAGTCTGCAGTTCCATAGTAGTTTCCAGATGTGGCCTTGTACTTTGTACCCAAGTTAAGAATCTACAACTTAATACCCTCTAGGAAAACAAAGATATCTCTTAAGGAGGTAAATAAAAGTATTTTAAAGGATTAGAGACCTATAACTAAAGATTTTCACAATGGAAGAGAGGGAGGTTCTTTAAGCTATGTAATTAAAGTATATATGACAGAATTCTTTTTACCACCTCACAGTGATAATCATGAGGGTAGATGTGCATGGGAGATCAAGATAGTTGTTAGAATGCAATTAGATTTAAAATTTTAGAATGTTGTGTGAATCAAAATTATCTTTAGAATGAATAAGATTTAAAATTTTGTTATGATTAAAGATCATTAATAGGCATTTACTCCAACTTTGCAAAGACTTATTCTATGAAATGAAAATAATTTAAGAGTTTAATTCCATCAAGTATTTGGGGTCAGGATTATTTAAGTAGGCTTGGTTTTAATTGCATTAAAAGATTTTTTGAGTAGTCTACCTGAGTAATTCCTTGTGTTTAAAATTATGTTATAGATTAAGCCAGTTCTTGGCTTGTCTTCACAAACAGAAGACAGAAGCGTGATGAGAATTTAAAATTTTTTTAACATATTTTCACATTTTTTAAGGTATAAATGAAATCCAGCAACTTAAAAAAATTTTTAAAGGCTTGCAAGTTACCATAATTTGTGTATTTGTTTTACAAATTTATAAAATATTAATAGTGATCACCATTTTTTTCATGTAAAGTGCTCAGTGACTGATACACAAGAGTTGGTAAGTTACTATCTCTTATCATTAGCTTTATCATTACCACACATTTTTAGTACACTGAATTTGCAGTGTAAAAATGACTTTCTAATTTAAAACCACTGACACTTTTTGGAATACTGCTTATTTCCAACTATGGATAGTGGCCCATATTTCTAAATCCTGTGTAAAATACTGTGTATGTTTAAAAGAAGAAACTCTGAATCACAGAAGAAAAACAGCAACAGCAAAGATTTGCCCACATTCTTGTTCCTTTAATTCTAAAAATTGAAGAAGTGAAAAAAGTACAGAGCAACTAAAAACAATTTTAAAGTTCAATGTTAAAGGGATCTTATTGTACCCAAAACATGGTGTTGAAAAGGAAAAAAGTGCTTAGCAGACAAGCTATATATATAAAAACAGGAAGATATGAGCTGGAGGAGACAGATCTTGATAAAATTAGTAAGCAGAAGTTATCTTTATAAACCAGCATTTATTCTAAATGAAATGTTTTAAATGACAATAGGGTTTTATTCCCTCCCCCCCCCAAGAAAGCTTAAACCATATAAATCTAACAAATCCCACTCCCATACTTAGCCATGTTCTCTGGTTTAAAAGCTGAAACATTGCTGGTTCCCTAACTAATTATTGAATATATTTCTGTTTCAATGTGTAAATTTAAAAGTTGATATGACTTTAACCTTTTTTGGTTAGGAAGAAGCTTCAAGGTTTAATATATAACTAATCTTTCTATTAAAATATTCCTATTCTTGATTATAATTTTAAAAGACCCAAAGGCTTCATGGAAGAGATACTTGGCAAAAGACATTAATTTGAGAATTATCTCCTAAATTTCAAAAACTTGTCTATAGGAAGTGGCGTTGTGGTAGAGTGCTCACCTTGAGCTGAAGAACTCAGGGACAGCACCCAGACTTAGAGTTCAAGCCTCATGACTGACCAAAAACAAAAACCAAAAAACTTGTCTTCAATGAAACTTGTCTCAAAAACCTTTAATTACCTTGTTTTGGACAAACAAAATTTGCTATCTTCCCTTCTCCTTTCTCACTGCTCTCAGACCATCCTGTTGCTTTGCCAAGATTGTCTTAACAGCCTTGCTTTTCTTTTCTTTTCCTTTCTCTCCTTTTCTTTTTTCCTTAACAGGCTTTCTAACTCATCTCCCTGCCTCTGGTTTTGCCCCCTTCTAAGAACATATTTTTTTCTAAACATTAGCTGAAATTGTCACTATTATCATATAGTATCCTTAAAGAATGAAATTCATATTTCTTAATGAAGTTTGAAGATCCTTCTTTCCCTTCCTACAGTTTATCTTATACCTAAATTTCTTCCATTAATCTTCTCCCTCTCTGCTACAGACCCAGTTTCTGTTCCTAGGCCCTTTTCACAAGCTGAGTTCTTTGGTAAGGACTGTCTCCACCCTCCCTCCCAAATCCTTCCCTGAATTTTCTTGCCAAGGCTTCTACTAATACTCTTAAGTTCCAGCTCACATGTCTCTTCCTTCAGGAAGCCTGTTTTGAACCACCATTCCAAGTCTGGACTCCCTTAATGTTTCATAGTTTTATGCCAAGACCAAGTCATTTGGCCTTCCTCTGCTTTTACCAGGGTGTTCAGCTTGTTTTTGAGGAAAAGAAGGCAGAAAGTAAGTTTGCTAAGAACAGATGCAGAGGCAGTAAATCTCACTTTGACACAGCGAGTAAGCTGACCAAACATCAAGTTGACCAAAAAGTCAGATTTGCTGTTACTTCTCTGATCAGATTCCAGGATTCTTCCAAACAAATACAATATGTTTTAATAGCAGACTTTGTAAAATATGTGCTGGCCTGAACTAACAACCTATGGTAGATTTCCAAAACATTGTCCTTTGTAATCATTGTTCTGTGCTCAAGATGATCATCTTTTCAGCACATGGTTATTACATGCCTATAAGTGTCCTGTACTGGATACCTTCAGTACCCAGTAAAGTTCTTGGAAAAACTCAAGCGTTTTACTATTTTGAACAAAACATCTCCAGGGGGCTGGGAGGGTGGCTCAGTGGTAGAGTGCTTGCTTTGAATGCATGAGGCCCTGGGTTTGATTCCTCAGCACCACATAAGCAGGGGGAAGAAAAGCCAGAAGTGGTGCTATGGCTCAAGTGGTAGTGTGCTAGCCTTGAACTGAAGAGCTGAGGGACAACGCTCAGGCCCAGAGTTCAGGCCCCACGACCGAACTCCTCCCCCCCAAAAAAAATCTCCAGAAGTGAAGCTATGCAATGATAAATGATAACACGGAGGCCAATTGATATATGGGTTGGAACTCTTCTTGGACATTAAATATTTATTTTGTGGCAATTTTGTGTGTGTTGGAAGGTAAAGAGACTTAATTCTCCAGGACTGTTCTATGCAAGAGAGCAGAAATTAATACTCTTTGAAGTATTTAAATCAGTCTTTATGGAGACCATAAAAATTAACTGTGTTAAAAGGTGCTCAGTAAATGAGAATGTTACAAATATTTTTCTTTTTATATAAGGTGGCATTAAAAATAGATCTCAAAATTTTGGGAGGGGAGGAAATCTTCACTTAAGATTCCTAATTAAGGGCTGGGAAGGTGGCTCAGTGGTAGAGCACATGCCTTGCATGCCAGAGGCCCTGGGTTCGATTCCTCAGCACCATATAAGCAAAAAGAAAAAAGCCAGAAGTGGCGCTGTGGCTCAAGTGGTAGAGCGCTACCCTTGAGCTGAAGAGCTGAGGGACAGCGCCCAGGCCCAGAGTTCAGGCCCCATGACCAGACCCCCCCCACAAAAAAAAGATTCCTAATTAATTTCAACATATCTGTAATATTTCTTTAATAAGTATCAAACTGTAAATACCAGTTAGTAAATGTATGCAATTTGCAGTTTAAAGTTACATTTTAATTACTTTAATTCATTGGGGGTCTACTAAATGTATTTTTTCCCCTTGTTTCGCCTAGAAAATAGGAAGGTAAGCACTGTAGAATAATTTTTATGTTACAAACACGAGTATAATAACTGCTGAATAACTGTTATAACTTCAGAAAAAAGAATCATAGTGCAACTCTTCCTGAACCAAAGTTGTCTTTTTTTTCTTGTACTTCCCTCATTTTAAAACCAGCTTTTATATCTCACAACTCTGTATGCCAAGTGGTTTATGTATCCAAATTATTCAATTTCTTGGATGCTATCTCCTATTGCTGCGAATTGAATGACTTTACTAGGTTTGTTTTGTTTGTGGTTGAGTGAGCATTTGGTTATGCTGTTTACTTCTGTGGTTTTGCTTAGTGGAAGAGAGCCTAGAAACCTCTGCAGCCTTTTTTTTTCTGTTCATTAATCCCCAACTACTTCTTGACCAATAAAAACTACATACTGTGTTGTGCTTTTACGTATTTTTTAAAGCAGCTTATGAGAGCATACAAATTTATTTGGAGATAATAAATAAAAAGTAACTATTTTGAACCTGTGACTTTTAAAACATCATGACTGAAAAAGCCAGAAGTGGTGCTTTGGCTCAAGTGGTAGAGCTCTAGCCTTGAGCTGAAGAGCTGAGGGATAGCACCTAGGCCCAGAGTTCAGGCCCCAGGACCGACAAAAATAAATAAATAAAAATCATAGCTTAAGAGTTGTAAAAGTAATTTAGTGATATTGGCACCTCACTTGTAATACTGAAACCTATTTTCATTTAGGACCCCTAGTTCTGTATCTGTCCATGATGTCCCAACATTTCCCTCCTTAACCTAAGCATGTAACACATGGGCAAACACAAAAAACAAACATGGAAAAAGATCTAATTTAGCAGTTGATTAAAAAATAGAGCTATGAAAGGAAGGAAATTATATTAACATAGGACCTCACAGAGTTGGGTTCTGGACCCAACAAGATTAAGTGCTCCTTTGTAACCTCATTCTCCTCAAGTTCCTCATTGATTTCAAAGAAGGGATTTTTTTTCTTTTTAACAAGAGTGCTTAGGAGAGACCATTAGAATTACAAAGCCTTCACACATATTTGGGAAGAGAAAGACAATTCAGATGTTTGCTACCAAGGTTTATTATCTGTGTAGACAAGTACATAGCTTGCCAAAAATAGATTTTTCATTGAATATAGGCCATGATCTCATACTTGTTTCTGCATTCTGCTGCCTAGTCAGAGTTGTTTGGGCATTATTGGAAAGGGAGAAGGGAAATTTCCATCGTTTATAAGATGTAAAGAGAACTCCATTCCTCTTCTTGCCGTATGGGTCATTCCAGAGATTTGTATGCCTTTGCCTCTAGGTAAATGGCCTAAGTAGAAGAGGGAGAGTTGGCCCTCATCTTACAGCATCAGCACATGCTCACATCCCGGCCCAGCCCACCAAGCCTGTTCTTGACCTCAGAATTAGCTCATCCGGCTTGTTTTTCGCCTGGGCTGTGCAGGGCCCCGCTTCCCCCAGCCTCTGCGCTTAGGGGGCGGGGCTCTGCGGCAACGCGGGCTGGCATTGGTGAGTGTGCCCGCCAGGGCGGTGGAGAGACAGGCCCAAGGCGGGGCCTGCCGGCTTGTTTGTCGGCGCGGCCCCGCCCCTGCCGTCCGCGCTGTCCGGAGGAGCGCTGCGGTGAAGAGCCTCGGCGTCCGGCCAGCGCTCGCTCACTCTCTCGTCTCCTCGCGCTCCGCCGCCGTCCCGCGCCGACATGCGCCTGGCCTCCGCGGCGAACGAAGCGTACACTGCCTCGCTAGCCGTCTCGGAGCTGCTGGGGTGCAAGCAGTGCGGCGGGGGCCGCGGCCAGGACGAGGTACCCGGGCGAGGGGCTGGGCGGGCGGGTTACCTGGCCGAGCCGCGGCGCTGCGCGGAGGTCGTGCCGCCCCCAGCATTCTCACGCTAACAGCGCCCGAAAACGCTCCCCGGGAGGGGGCGTCAGCGCGGCGGGCCCCGCTCCCCTCCCGGAGACCCGCAGGGAAAGGGCGGCAGGTGTTGAGGGGGAGACCCATCCTAACGCGTCGACCCCGGGCGGAAAAGGTTGAGAGGCAGCCGTCTGGGTGGTTTAAATGAAGTCCCGAAGCGTGAATAGCTCTAGAGCTGGGGTAAAACAGCCTGTGGATTTCCCCACTGGCGGCTTGTCAGAACAGATTATTCAGTCACCCTCGCCTCCAGCCCCTCGTACTTTAAAAAAGAAAAGGAAATGCATTTGAATCAGTTAAAAGTACATTGCCTGCATAAACTGTGTTCTGCAAGCACTATGACGTGATGCTCTGCGTTTCCCTGTTTACTAAAGCATCTCTCCCTGTTGTTTCTGAACGTTCAGAAACAACTTTGTCATTTTAACATTTTATTTTTCCGAGTGCAAATACGATGCTATTTGAAAATTATTGATATGAGCTCAGTTAAAATATAAACCTTCAAAAGGCTTTCATTCGAAAGGTGATGATGAAGGGAAAAAATGAATTTCAATTGAAATCAGAATGAAATCTAAAGAAATAATTTCTCTGCAGGTTTACCTATTAAAATGACTCAGGTTTAGTAATTATATCTTTTTATAAATGGGGTCTGTGTTATCAGTACACTGTATATTCATAAAGACTGAAATGAATCAATCTCATATGGGTTGTAGAACACCAAATATTTTTGTCTAGATTTTTACATTTGTGTATGTTATTACATGTTCCTTGTTTACAGATGACAGAACAGCCTTTAAAAGTCTTACAGGAGCTGGGGATGTAGCTCGGTGGAAGAGCACCTGCTTAGTATGTAGAGACTCAGCATTTGATCCCCAACATGCATAAATAAATGTCTTATACTATTGCCTGAGAAACTTACCAGAGAGAGAAAATTGAAGTAGCATAAGAGATTATTTCTGTTTTGTGTAGAAATGAGCCCCGATCATCTTGTCTAAACAGCTCTTTCATTTCTGGGTATGGTTATGTGCAGATTCCTGGTTCTTGCCTCATCTAGAATTTCTAAATATAGCCATGTAAACTAGAAGATAGACTTATTAGCATGTACAGTGATTATAAAATATGTAGATAGGGGGCTGGGAAGTTGGCTCAGTGGTAGAGCGCTTGCCTTGCATGCCTGAGGCCCTAGGTTCCATTCCTCAGCACCACATAAGCAAAAAGAAAAAAGCCAGAAGTGGTGCTGTGGCTCAAGTGGTAGAGCACTAGCCTTGAGCTGAAGAGCTGAGGGACAGTGCTCAGGCCCAGAGTTCAGGCCCCACAACCAGACCAAAAAAAAAAATATGTAGATGGTTGGTGTAGTCATATTTCATTTTTAATAAATCTAAGATGGGAATATAAGTTAGGAAGTATTGTTTTACAGAAAAACTAGTTATTTTACCAAAAATCATAATTGTCTCAACTAGCAAGTTTCCATAATGCTTTTGAAAACTTTATAGGAATGGAACTCCTGAGCATAAGTGTAGAGCTTGCATAAGGCCAAGTCAGTCTTCTAAATTTTATCTATTTACTTGTTTATTTTGATGCTAGGCATTAAATCCAGGACTAGAACATGTTGGGCAAGTGCTCTACTACTGAACCACATCCCAGCCCCAATACAATACTTTTGAGTAAGTTTTTGTTTTTCTGAAATATAGTTCATAAAAATTACACCTGTAATCTTACAGGCTCACACCTGTAATCTTATCTACTCAGGGGGCTGAGATCTGAGGATCATGTTTGAAAACCAGCCCAGGCAGGAAAGTCTATGAGACTCTTCAGTTAACCACCAGAAAACCGGAAGTGGCATTGTGGCTCAAGTGGTAGAGTGCTTGCCTTGAGCTGAAATGCTCAGGGACAGGACCCAGGCCAGAGTTCAAGCCCCACGACTGACCCTCCCCCCCCCAAAAAAAAATCACAAGTACCTGAACTCCAAATACCCTGGTAGTGTTCTTGACGATTTTAGAAGTACTAGTACATTTTGCTGTAATCACGGTGTTTCTTTGTAAGGCTTCTAGATCTCATTTCTAATTAAATTTTTTGAACATCAAAAGGCCAGTGCCCAATTATAGGCACTGTGTAACATCTTTTACTTTCTGTGTAACATCTTTTACTTTGTTGAAATGGTTTCAAAAAGTATACATTGCTTTATAAAAGTTTTTTGGTTGGTTGGTTGGTTGACTGACTGACTGATGTCTTTCTTTCCTCTCCCTCTCCCCCCCCCCCCCCCCCAACTCAACTTTCTCCACTCTCCTCTCCTTTTTCTTTTTTTTTTTTTCCTCTGGTGCTGGTCCTGGAGCTTGAAGTCAGGGCCTGGGCCACTGTACCTGACTTTTTTTGCTCAAGGACAGCACTCTACCACTTGAGCCACAGTTCTACTTCCCTGTTTTTGGTAGTTAATTGGAAATAAGAGTCTCATGGACTTTTCTGTCTTGGCTGGTTTTAAACTGTAATTCTCAGATCTCAGCCTCCTGGGTAGCTAGGATTACATGCATGAGTCACCAGCACCAGGTGGTTGGTTGATTCTTAGGCCTGCCTGGACCTCACTGTGTATCCCAGACTGGCCTGAACTATAGACCCTTAGCCTCCCAAGTGCTAGTAGGTAGGTGGTGTGTGCCACCAGCCCAAATTAATTTTTAATTTTAAAAAATAAGATTAATGGGCTGGGAAGGTGGCTCAGTGGTAGAGCGCTTGCCTTGTATGCATGAGGCCCTGGGTTTGATTCCTCAGCACCATATAAGCAAAAACAAAAAAGCCAGAAGTGGCGCTGTGGCTCAAGTGGTAGAGCACTGGCCTTGTGCTGAAGAGCTGAGGGACAGCACTCAGGCCCAGAGTTCAGGCCCTACGACTGGACCAAAAATAAATAAAATAAGATTAATACCAATGCTGTGATTATCAGTCATATACATAAAACATCCAGGCAAGAGTAAAAAAAAATACAGGTATTAAGTACAGATAAATACAATGACTCAAATGATTTACTTTATTTTCAAATAGTTAGGAGCTTTATTTCATTGTGTATGTATAGAAAAATCAGTCTTTCACTTAGAGATATAGATTCATAAATGTCTTTAACATTTTGAAACAACTGATTGGAATAGTCCTTTCAGTCTGCAAATACTGATTTTCCCCCACAGAACTGATATTTGAACCCAGGACGTCATACTTGCAGCCATGCTCCAGTCCTTTTGTTCTAGTTTTCGTTTGTAAATAGTTTTAGTTTTTTAATACCTTTCAAATAGGGCTTTGAATGTTTTGCTCAAGTCAGACTCAACCTTGATCCTCATTTTTCTGCCTTCCAAGTAGCTGGGATTGCAAGCTTGTACTACATGCCTGGTCCCATACTGATTCGTGTAGTGATACTATGTATATATAGTCTTTCAGTGGCACTATCAGCAGCCACTAGATTTTCATATTCTGAAAATGGGTGGTTGTTATTATACACACACATTTTGAAGCAACCTTGTAATGGTGGAGGCTATGGTCATCTCTTTCAAAGACAGTAATTAGCACTGTTGAAGGGAGGGGACTTTTCTTCTCATATTTAGTTTGCCTAGCCACACCCTCACAGAAAATCTGTGAGAGTTATGCTATGATTAACATTACATCTGTTTTCAAAAAGGGCATTTGCTGTTAGAAATTCTGCTTCCTGGGATTGACCAAAATTTGTTGAGTTAAATTGAGTTTCTCATCACTACAGATGGATAAATAATTGAAGTAACCTAAATTGGAAGTTATGAACTAAATGCATATAGTATGGCTTATGATCACTCCATGAGCATAGTATCTGCTTCACAGGCTGATAACAGGATCATTCTAAGACTGATTTTTATTTTTTTCAGGAAGCTCACCAAGTATTCACTTCATGTGTAGCTAACAGAACAATACTGAAAGGCTAGTTCAGATGGTAAAGTGTTGCTCACACCCATACAAACAAATGGTATTGACTGGGCTCAACTAAAAAGTACATTGATTCTTACTGATAATATTATGGTGTGTATAATTTGTAAAATATAGTTATATAACATGAGATATTAGGAGCAATGATACTATTGTTACTTTATTATTATCATCATCATCCTTTGACAAATTAGATCCTATAATTTAGAAATTCATTTGCATTTACTAAAAAGTAGAGATGTGATTTTGGCCCATACCTTACTGTTCTGTACTTTTCCCTTATTACCTAGGGAGATGGTACATAGTGGTATTTATTTTATTTTGTGCTATTAAAAAAAAACTTTATAAAAATTCCAGTGAGAATTAGTTCAATTGGGTCACCTGTTTACTTTTCCCAGAAGTGTGTTTGTGTACAATGGAAGGCTGGTTGGAGTGACTCCACTTCCTGTCAGTATCCATCTCAGAGATCATCCATAACATTTCAGACATAACATTTCAGATTAGCTTTTTGTCTTGTGTTGGACATGAGATTAAGCAGAAAAGATCTTGTCATGTTCTTATGTCCCTGTCATGTACACCGTCCACTAGCCTCCAAATAAGTACATTTTTGTGGTATTAGAATTGGAATAATTGTTTCTTCTTATGTCAGTCCTAGCTAACCTTTTCTGTTTAGGAATTCATCTCCCTTTCTTCCTCATCTAATCTCTTCCCTTCTGCTTTCCTCCAATTTTCTCCTCTCCCCCATACCCCACAACCTCTTCAATTTATCTGGAATATGATTTTGGCAATACAAGTGTACAAGTGTGAGCTGAGCAAAATTGTGTTTCACCTAAAATTAGAATTAAGATGGTAAAAGGAGATTTTTGAATGCCAGGGACTCCTTTCAGTTTTGCCATTCTTCTGACACAGCTCTCTTGCTATATTGATACTTCATCAAAAAACAAATATAATCTCAACGCTAATAGGATTGAATAATGTGTCTCTAATCCATACCAAAGAACATTTGCTTTTTTCTTTTTTGGCCTTTTGTGATTATCTATCTTTATCTTCACGTTATAGTGTTGACAGACATAGTGATATCAAAAAGAATATATTTCTAACGATAATGGAGATGCTTCTTTGATCATTGAAGGCTTGAGGAAAAGGGCCTCTGAGTTTGGCAATGTTGGTGGGTTTATAAGTATTTGAGAACTACTTAGGACCACTAGGAAAGACTTGTTAATGCTTGTAAGAAAAATCCCCACTTCTGGAGCAACCATATCTACCTTCTTGAGATTGTAAAATTATTTTGTAATAATTGGAATATAAAGTATGTATTTGATATTGAAATAATTCCAGAATATTATAATTTGGCCTAATTGTTTAATACCCATGTGGTATTAATTTGGGCACATTTAAACAAATGCCACCCACAAGCTGCTAATATATTTATAGGATAAAGTCCTAGAAATGAAATTTCTAAGACCTTTTCTTTCTGTTTACAAATAATATATACATATCCTTCCCTTTTTTCTATCCCTTCCCCAAAAATACTGTGAAGATCTTTGAAAATATAAATATGTATATATATATTTGTATATTCCATATATAGAATTGCTTTATTCTTTGTAAGAACAGCATGCTATTTTACTTTATTGAAATAGTGCTCTTGATGATCACTTAGCTTATTTTCAAGTCTTATATTAGGAACAATGTTGCAGTGTTGACACTTTGAATAGAGTTGTGATTCAAGGAGTATATGACAAGTTTTGATCAATATTGCAACTGTAGAGGTATTGAAGTGTTTATATTGCTTGTGTCTTTATTAGCACAGGGAGTTCCATTGTTACACAGGTGTATACAATGTATCCTCCTCTCTATCACTTTCCCTATCCCACCCCCCTTCTTAAGGCAATTTCATCAGGTTTCTTTGTTATATTTTCTACATACAAATAAACTACATAGACCATATTCATCCTCATTATTCATCCTCTTTCTTAGCACCCACTGGTGCCCCCACCCCAATAGGAGCTCACGTTACTTTCCTGTCATGCATTTTTTAGTGTGCATTAGTTGCACAAAGGGATTTCACTATGGTAGTTCAGATGTGCATATATTATGCATTGCTCAGAATAACTCCACCCCCATCAATCCTCTGTTGATTAACAACTTTCATGCTGCCTTCATACACAGTTCTGTTTCACAATGACCCTCCATCTTTCCTATTCCTCTCCACTTATAATAAATAATCCCATATTGAGAATCATGTGTGTGTTTGTATCCTTATGCATGTGGGCATATGTATGTATATACATGTTCATGAGTATGTATGTCGTTTAGTTCTAGTTTCTACATAAGAGCAAAAACATACAATATTTGGCATTTTCCCTCTCACTGAAAAAGCACTCCCATCAGCAATGTATAAGTAATAAATGATTATTTTTCCATTCTACCCATCCTGAACAGAGCCTGTAAGGACTTCTTTTTAATCTTAAGCAGTCTTTTTGTATTCTTTTTAAAAGGTATATCTATATAATTAACTTAGATATTTTCATTGTGAATGTTGAGCTTTTTTTTTTTTTTTTTTTTGGTTGTGGGGCTTGAACTCTGGGCCTAGGCACTGTCCCTCAGCTCTTCAGCTCAAGGCTAGCGCTCTACCACTTGAGCCACAGTACCACTTCCGGTTTTCTGGTGGTTAATTGGAGATAAGAGTCTCATGGACATTCCTTCCCAGGCTGGCTTTGAAGGATGATTCTTAGATCTCAGCCTCCCTAGTAGCTAGGATTACAGGTGTGAGCTACTGGCGCCCTGCTATGTTGAGCATTTTTAAAGCCAGTCTTTACTTTTACTTTTCTTTGAATTTTCCATGTCCTTTGTTATTTCCTGTAAGAACATTGGGTGTTTTCTTATTGATTTGTATTATGTTTTTTTGTTGTTTTTTTTCTCCAGTCCTGTGGCTTGAACTCTGTCCCTGAGCTTCTTTTGCTCAAGGCTAGCACACTACCACTTGAGCCATAGCACCGCTTCTGACTTTTTCTGATTATGTGGTACTTGGAATTGAACCCAGGGCTTCATGCATGCTAAGCAAGCACTCTACCACTAAGCCACATTCCCAGACCTATATTTTGTATTTTTTTTAATATTTAGACATTTGTTTGTGAATTATAAATATCTCCCAATTTTCTGTTCATATTGACTCATTTTTTTTCACATGAGCAAGTATTTGTCATCAGATTTATCAATAGCATTCTTAGACCTACTGTTTTTTCCTAGTATTATAATTTCTTTGGTGTTTTTTTTTCGTTTTGTTTTTTACATTTAGCTCTGATTTGTTGTGGAATAAACTATGGCTTAGGGTTCATTTTTTTTAATGAGTGGCTATTCAGTTGTCCCTAAATCACTTGTCAAATCCATTTTTCCCATATTTGAAGTGATACCCTTTCATAGACTAAAGTCCTAAGTATATCTTGTTATGAAATGAGTAATAAAACCTTAAGACTGAAATGCATTTTAAGATAATTTTCAGAGATTAAAGAAATGAGAAAGGATAAATGTTGATTTATATACTTTTATACTTTTTAACCACTAAAATTTGTTTAAAAATATATACCACCCAAATTTGTTTAAAATATATATATATATGTGCTGGATCAGAGATTCAACAATTAGAAAGGCTAATGGAGTCATCCTTCATATAAAAGGCTGCTAAGTTGATATATTGAACAACAGGAGCATGTTTCCTTCCACCATTTATTATAGGCTATTGATACACATACATGACTAGTGAATTTAGTGTCTCTTAGTGAAGTGCATGTCATATACTATAACCATATACTAATAACCAGACTAAGAAATCACTAACCTCTAGTATAAGATTAGACATATTATAGGTTCAGTTGGCAAATATATACCCTACTTTGAATCTAAATCTTGATTTCTCCTGCTAAAAAAAATCAGTTTTGTCATGCAGACTTAATTATTTTATTTTATTTTATTTTAAGATTTTCATTCAATTGGAACAAATTTCTGGACCCACTGCTCCCTCTGTTTTTTCTTTAAATGGAAAACGTGGTTCATATCATGAAGATCTTCTTGAAACAGTAGGAAAAGAATAGAAATAATATTTGCATGTAATGTGAAAAGCAGGGGATTAATGTTTAGTTGTATAAGCTCTAAAAGTTGTTTTGTTTTTGGTGGTGGTGGTGGTGGTGGTGGTGGTGTGTGTGTGTGTGTCCATCCATCTGTCCATCTTGGGACTTAAACTAAGGACCTAAGCACTGTCCTTGAGCTTTTTAGCTCAAAGCTAGTGAGTCGTGGCTCTTCTTCCAATTTTTTTGGTAGGTAATTGAAGATAAGGGTCTCATGGACTTTCCTGCCTGGGCTGGCTTTGAACTGCAGTCCTCAGATCTCAGCCTTCATAGTAGCTAGAATTAGAAGCATCAGTCACTAGTGCCTGGGCATCTAAAACCTTTTTTTTTTTTATGAGACTAGATTAATAAGAAATGACTTTGCTAAGGGAATGAGATATTGTTATGCCTTTATTTCTGAAGTACACTGTGTTGGAAAGGACAGGATCTAACCTAGGTAGTTACTGTGTTAATCATGCTACATATAAAATTCTAGATTCACTATGCCAAAAAGGGGGAAAACCATTTCTTTCAGATTTACTTGAGCTCTCTACATACATTATAGGCAAGATGCATAGCATCCCATAAATAAAAAGTTTTAAAGCAAGCCTAGACACAAAATAAATTTCTCTAAAAGTTATTTTACTCTAATCTTTCTCTTTTGCACTTAACTAGCTAATTTTTATTTCTCATATTTCTGTGCTTACTGTGAGGTGTTATTCTAGATGCAATAATGATTATACTTTTTAAGGCATCTGTGTGGAACTATGGACTTTTCATTTCCTGACAAGATGCATGGGGATTGATATTTTGGTTGAATTTTGGATGTACAAACACATCGGTCTTATTTTGTATCACTGACAGCCCACAGGGTTGGCTGCTATGTGCTGAACTTTCTGTTCTAGACTTTCTGCCAAGTACTTTATGCAAAACTCTGGTTTTAGTGAAACAGGTTTTATTGTTTTTAGTCAGAGTCATATTATAAGATGTTAGCTGTGTCATGCAAACAGAAGAGTTGGTATGTATATATAGCCATGAAAACAAATTACCACAACGGTCCTGACTTTGTTCAACTGGTTGTTTTTCCTCCCATTCCTTTATCTCAGTTCATGTTGTTTACTGCTACAGGCCTGAGATGGTGTCATTTTCTTTTCTAGGAACTTGGAATTAGAATTCCTCGACCACTAGGACACGGACCAAGCAGATTCATCCCAGAAAAGGAGGTATGTTGTTTGTGAAAGTAGACAGTGAACTGCATGCTTTTAAGGAAATGTTTTCATGACCTACATCTTGGTATTTGAATGATTATTGGTCAACAAAGTGTTTTTTGCAGTTGATGACAGTTAATCATACTTTGGCAGTGAGTTTATGGGATTAGAAAGCTGTTGTAGACATGTTGATTTCTAGTATGTCATAATGTTTTTTAAACACTCATATTTTTAATCAAATAGAGCTGAGACTTGTTTTTGACTGATAATATTCCACCTACTTATATTTAGATCTTGCTTAATTAGGTGTGCCTGTAAACTGAATTACTTGTTCTTGACCATCTTCACAGGCTATTTTGAACTCTAAGTTGAGTCTTTAATTCTGCATGTGTAAAAGGGTTTATGCTTTGTTTTCATACAGATTGTTGCTATTAGTTAATTTTGGTTCTCCTTAAATGTAATGAAAGTGGGCACTATTATAAGAAAAAGCTTTCGTGTCTGCTTGCAAGCTCTGCAAATTTGATAATCTAAATCTGCTTCTTTGTCTGGACTCTGGCCAACTCTGCAAGCAGCCGATCTTGATGGCCTTTAACATTCAGCCTTGGTTGTTTATTCCCTACTGTATAATGTGTCTTCTGTTTTGCTACAAGTTTAAATTCATAACCCCTCTCTTAAGCCAAATTTAATTTGCTTCTAAATGACACAATGCCGCTAATGCACGTTATCTTTAACACCAATTTATAATTTACATAACCCTGGCTTTCTTCTCATTTATACAGATTCTCCAAGTGGGGAGAGAAGACGCACAGATGCATGCTTTATTTGCAGATTCTTTTGCTGCTTTGGGTCGTTTGGATAACATTACATTAGTGATGGTTTTCCACCCACAATATTTAGAAAGTTTCCTTAAAACTCAACACTATCTACTGCAAATGGATGGGCCATTACCCCTACATTATCGGCACTACATTGGAATAATGGTTTGTAAACATTTGATGAAAAATTCTGCATGCCTGAAATCTCTAATTGCTTTAAACATAGGGATAAATACCTACATTCTGACTTGTAGTTGGATTCCTATAAGGAAATATCTATTTGGGCTAGAAATGTGGCTTAGTGGTAGGGTGCTTGCCTAGCATGCATGAAGCCCTGGCTTCAATTCCTCAGTGCCACATAGACACAAAAAGCCAGAAGTGGTGCTATTGCTCAAATGGTAAAATGCTAACCTTGAGCTAAAGAAGCTCAGGGACATTGCCCAGAACTAGAAAAAAAAATCGCTATTTTTCCTATTTTTATAACTTTGAACTCAAGTCCAAAAAAAATTCTAACATATTTATATTATGCTGAGAGCCATTTTTTATGTTCAATAAAGTTGAACATAAGACCTATCTTATTCTAAATACTTAACATGACACAAGTAGTGTTAAACCTGATAGTTTGTAAGTTATATTCCGTTTTTATGCTTGGCAACTTAATTGAATTTTCTTAAACTGAACTTCTAAAATTTGTATGTTGGTAAAATTTCTATAGTTCAGATTTATTTTTTTAACAAATATTTGTTCTTGGAATAATTCTGAAGTATTTCCTATGAAGTAGTTGGACCTTTTAGTTTCTACATGAAAACTGTATCTCTGTAGTTCACAGAAAAGTTTAAAAGATACTAATTAAAAACAACTTTGATATTGAAACAGATTGGTAATAGTTCAAGAATTTCATACCTATAGTTAGAATATCTTTTTGTTTTCTCTTAAGGCTGCAGCGAGACATCAGTGCTCCTACTTGGTGAACCTGCACGTAAATGATTTCCTTCATGTTGGTGGGGACCCCAAATGGCTCAATGGTCTAGAGAATGCTCCTCAAAAACTACAGAATTTGGGAGAACTCAACAAAGTATTAGCCCATAGGCCTTGGCTTATTACCAAAGAACACATTGAGGTATGTAGTAATGTATCTTGAGCATCATTTAAAAATTTTTAAAGATAGGCTTACTGACAAAGTGCACAGAAAGAACAGAGTTTCCATTTTTCAGCTCCCTCTCAGAGATACATTTTTCTACTATTATCAGCATCTGGGATTTTCTATGGTACATTTGTTGATCAATGTTGATTTGTTGCTATGAGGTGCATCCTTCACAATGGGTTCACTCTTCGTGTTGTAAAATTCCAGAGTTTTTACAAGTGCATGTCATCATAATATGATTGCTATAGAATATAAAGGAGCAAATAGTCATATCCCTGTGCTTCCCCCTGAATGCATACAACTGCTGGTTTTTTCCCTTTCTCGAAAAAGTTTTGCTACATTTTAGAATGCCATATATTCAGATTGGCCTTTATTTATCAAAATGCATTTGATGTTCTTCCTTATTTTTTGATAACCTGAGAGAGCATTTATTTCTGTTTTACTCCAGTGTATGGATATACCATATTTTATCCATACACCTATTAAAAGGACATCTTGATTACTGCCAGTTTGGGCCAATTATAAATAAAACTGTTAGAACATTCATGGGTTAATATTTTAGTAGACAAAAGTTTTTAGCTCACTTGAGCAAATTACTGTTAGGTCTTATAATAAGCTAATTTTCAGCTTTGTAAGAAAACTGTGCCATACCTAAAGCTCATTTGAGCAAATTACTGTTAGGTCTTACAATGAGCTAATTTTCAGCTTTGTAAGAAAACTGTGCCATACCTAAACTATGCCATACCAGTCTGCATGCCAATAATGGTGAAGAAGCATTCCTTTGCCAGCATTGGTATTGGTGTTTTAAATTTTAGCCATTCTAACTGGCACTGCATTGTTAGTAAAAAAATAAATAAATAAAGATGCCTAACAATGTCATCTTAAACTAATTCCTTCTGGTTCTACAGTAAATGACTAACTTTTTAAAAACATCTTTTTGGTTTACTCTTTCTATAAACATCTACAATAATAGATGATGTCAAAAGGGATATAAGTATTTTTTTAATCATATTCAAATTGTATTGTCAAGGAGAAATTGCATAAGATTATAATGTAATGATAAAGTCTTATAGGACTTATGCCTGACTTTTTTCCCCCTTCAGGGATTTATGCTTGCTTAGGCAGGTGCTCTACTACTTGAGCTACACCTCTTGCCATTTTTGCTTGGATTATTTTTGAGATAAGGTCTCAGTTTTTTCCCCTGGGCCAACCTGGACTGTGATCCCCTTATTTACATTTCCCATGTAGGGCTGACATGTATACTACCTCACCCAACTTACTGTTGAGATGGAGTCTTGAGGAGCATTGGCAGAATGGCTCAAGTGGTAGAGTACCTGCTTAACAAATTTGAGGCCCTAAGCTCAAATCTCAATACCACTACCAAAAATTAAAAACAGAGATGAATCTCATGCACTGGGCTGGCCTTGAACTGTGATTCTCCTGATATCGTCTTCCTGTGTAGCTGGGACAACCCAGTCTGACCTGTCAACACCCAACCTTAATTTATAACTTGTACATAAGTATAATTTGATGATTAAATAGTATTGAAGCCACTTCAGATTATTGAAGTTACTCTCTTACATTTTTTTGAGGAGACTTGATAACAAAACATAACATTTTACACAGTAGCTTCCACTTGAAACATATAAATATTGTTTGAGGGGCTGGGAAGGTAGCTCAGTGGCAGAGCGCTTGCCTTGCATGCATGAGGCCCTGGGTTCAATTCCTTAGCACCACATAAGCAAAAAGAAACAAGCCGGAAGTGGTGCTGTGGCTCAAGTGGTAGAGCGCTAGCCTTGAGCTGAAGAGCTGAGGGACAGTGCCCAGGCCCAGAGTTCAGGCCCCAC